TGTAGGTTTAGGCTCATGAAAGTATAATAAATCCGCGGTCCTGGGCTATCACAGTCACACTGAAAACGGGTTACTGAACAAACCAACGCACGAGACATCTCGCGGGAATAGTCAGAATGTCATGCATCATGCTATGTTTGAGGCATCGGAATATGCTAGGTTCTTGTACTTTAGCTGTGCTTTTTTTCGCCGCTTCTTCTTTTCGAATCACGCAGCACCAGCACTGCTTTTCAAGAATGTGCTGAATTTTGTTGCAGTCATGCCAATGTTTATCGTGTACATGGACTGATGACGGCTTTGGTATTCCTCAAAGCTGCCTCACTATTCTTTCATGGTGTAAACTTTTTCTTCATCAGCAAGTACGGGCAACAAAGTGAAATATGGGCAGTTGTCTACTATATCACTCACTTGTATGTCAGAATTTTCCTACATTTAATATACTTAGAAAGAAGAGAATTTTAAGGTTAAAAGGAGCCCTACTTTTTGGCACGATCATTCTTATTGGGACGGGTTACACATTTTTCAAAAACTTTCTTACTGAACGTGATCGAAAAGTCTTCATGGTGGTGCTACCTTTACAGGTAAGTTTTTCAACGCGATCGCACCTTTTTCCTGTTTATCTCATATCCTCGATGTTATTCCTCAACTTTCTTAGACTTCAGCTTGCAATTTTTAAAGGAAAGAATTCAAAAAGTTTAGAAGGGAAATGCCTTCTTTTAATATGATTTTGCATTAAGTTGTTTCTTCTTCTTTTGAATTGTGGTTTCCTTCTAATACTCCAAATGCGTTTGCTTCTGTACCCGAAACTTGTGTTCTCACTACTTTCACCACTTGAAGATGAGGGAGGAGGGTGAGCTGTGTAGGAGGTAGGTGGTACTAGATGAGATAGAAAGGGGAATAAGAATTAAAAACGTGAATGTGTAACTATTGAAGTTTACTACTCTCTTTTACAGATATTTTACTTAAAGTTGGTGAAATTAAAAGCTATATTGACTACACTGGATGTGTGATAAAAATCCATTGAAAAATGTCCATAAAAGGGAGAATTTTCGGTAGCAAATAAAAATAACTG